AAATAGTCCGTAACATTCATGAAAGATAATAAGGATAAGCTGTCAGGTATTTTAGGTAGACAGAAAAGCTGGCAAGGTATCCTAAAATTCCTTTCTTTAATTCTGGGAGCTGTATTCTGTGGATAGGACTTTTGAATTTTAGAGCTCTTTTTTCAGCACCTAACACCATCATTATTCAAAGGTCTGATATTATCATTAACATATTTTATGAACACACAATTTAATGCATGTTATCCTTATTTTCTATTTCTACAATATTTCAGAGGAATTATTTTTATCCTAATCTGATTTTGTTACTACTATCTTAGTAATTGTGGGTCAGAAAATTGTCTTACAGGCAGGTAGTTTCCTGTTACTCAATTATTTTATTTCTCAACATGATAGGCTGCAATGTAGTTTACTGGAAAAGGCATCATGCTGAGAGTAAGAAAAGCTTAATTGTTCGCTGCTGCATCCCTGCACCTAGAACAATGCCTCACCCAGAGTAGGTGCATAATATTTGCTAAATAAATCCTAATCCTGCTTCTGGGTAAAATTAGGTAAATTAATTACTTCTTTGGGGACTCAGTCTAGATGAGCCTGAACTTCCATGGTAAGATTTCATGACTTTTTATTTTGGCTCTAAAAAATAGTGGATGACAACAATGGAATGTTCAGGAAAATATCAATTGGTAGAGATTGCAGATAGATCGCTCATAAGACATCAGTGTTACAAATCCTGCAAGTGCGCGTGTGTGGTCATACAAGGCAAAGTTAAAAAGTCTTTTTTTTTTTATGACGATAATAAATAACAAAGTCTTTTTTGAGGATGTAACCTCAAGAGGTGGTTCAAATAAACGTCATTTTTTTCATTGTATCTTCAGTGCCTAGTACAGTTACGGCCTCATAGTAAGTATTCAATAAATAGTGGTTGACTTAATTGCCTTTATTAACATTCCGTTTGAAGCTTAGACACTGCTGAGTCTTAACCCCTCCTTAGAAAGCAATGAAGCTGCAATCAGAAATCCCTTAAAAGGTAAGAACCAGTAACAAGGCTGAGCTAAAGTACCAAGCAGGCTTCAAGCACTGAAGGAAGGAGAAAGAACCCAAAATAAGCGAGAGAGAAAAAAACCAAAATAACAAAAACAAACATAAGAGGAAAACACGTTTCTACCGTGGGGGTTGGCAGGAAGCCACCGCAATTTACTGCAAGTCAACCCTTGTCAATAGGTGGTCACCTCTGCAACTATCACCAAAGACTTCGACTGCACAGACCCCACGTTTACAGGGTTCCTATCAATACTGAGATGCCCAAGTTCAACTGAGTCCCTCAGGAACAGCAACCACAAGTAACTAATTCACGACCTATCCTCCATTCCATTCAAATAACGCAGCCAATAGGAAAATCCTCCGCCCTGAGCAAACGACTCGGCGTAGCTGAGACAGACCCGGAGGCAGGTCGGCCTAGTAGCTCCTTCCAACCCCACTTCTGGCCTCCGGAACCCTGGGAGCCCTCAGCTGGACAGGACAACCTTCCTTCCCTGCCTCCTCCCTTCCAGGTTGGTCCCAGCCCCCGCAGGCCGAGCGGCCCGAGCCACACCCGCTTCCCTCCGGTGGCCCGGCCACCCCCGCCGCAGTTCGCGTGAGCGCTCTTCCTGAAGCGGGCGCGGGCCTAGGGCGCATGCGCACTGGCCGAAGGGCGCCTCCCTGTCCGGATCTCGCGAAGTTACGTTAGATTGGCCGCCGGTGACGGGTGGCCGTGCCGGGGGCGGGAGGGCTTCTGTGGTAGGAAGGGAGGTCCGCTTGGGCCGGGCGCGCCGCCCCAGTGCTCTGTGGGATACTGGAAGTCTCGAGCGTCTCCTCCCGGTTCCCAGCCCTCCGCTGGCCCACACTCATAGAAACAGACACACACCCCCTGCTTCGCCTCTGTTCCCTCTCCGCCTCCCTCCTCCCCCCCTCGCGATAAGAAGACCCGGCGGCTGGAGAGGGGATGAAGATGGCGGACGCGAAGCAGAAGCGGAACGAGCAGCTGAAGCGCTGGATCGGCTCCGAGACGGACCTCGAGCCTCCGGTGGTGAAGCGCCAGAAGACCAAGGTGAAGTTCGACGATGGCGCCGTCTTCCTGGCTGCTTGCTCCAGCGGCGACACGGACGAGGTCCTCAAGCTGCTGCACCGCGGCGCCGACATCAATTACGCCAATGTGGACGGACTTACTGCCCTGCACCAGGTTTGTGCACCCCGCCGCCGGCTCTCCTAACCCCGAGAGTCCTCGTCGGCCTTCGGCCTGGGCCTGCTCTCCGCTCTCGGCCTCCTGAGGCTGGGGGCGGCAGGAGACTCCCTGCTGCGGGATGAGGGGGCGGTTTCCCGACGGGGAGGGAGGGAGAGAACTGGTGGAGGGAGGGCGCTGGGTTTGGGGCCCCCTTCAGACCAGTTGCTGTTGGAGTTGGGAACCGGGTGATTTCCGGGGCATAGGGGAAAAGAGATTGTAGTCGTCTTGGGGCCTCAGGGCCATTTGTGGATGTGTGTCTGGGATTTGGGGTCGAGACAGGGAGGGGTTGTAGTTGGGTTGTGCCTGGGCCCCCGTGTCAGTGATCTATTTGGGGGACGGATATTGAAGAAAACAAGGGGCGTTAGGGACGCTTGGGCGGTTGGACGTCTTTGGCTTGTAGGTGGACATTGGATTTGTTGCACTTTTTAGGACTTGGTTACAAATGATGATGATAGTAATAGTAATCAAGAGCCCAGAGACGAATGCACTGAACGAACGATTTCCTGTTTTCTTCTTTATTACTCTTAGTGACTAGGGAGGGGAAAACGGGGTGTAATTAGCTAATCTGCACCGGCTGACAGGGAGGAGATGGAAGTGGGTAGAGTAAGGGAGCGTTCTAAAGGGCTTGCCCACCTCCGGACCGGAACGTATTGAGTCCGATACTGTAAGAGTTTGCCGCAGTGTCAGAGATCCTTGAGCCCCAGGTCCTGAGGTGTGCACTGTGGTTAGAAGGAGAAGAATAACACTCTTTTCAAAGCCAGTTACCGAGCTCTGATTTTTCTTTTAGGGGGGTGGGAAAAAAGAAAGCTGGTCAGAAACTTTTCTCAAAATGGATGCTTTGTGCATGTTAAAGTTTTATAGTAGTCTGATTGGGATCTCCCAATGTTAGCCAAATAAGGAGAAACTGTTGGCAATCCAGAGATAATGTTGCTTTGCCTTTAACAGGCCAAAAGCAACACAACCACTTAGAGTTCTGCATAAAAAGCAGTTTTTAAAGTGGTGATAATAGGTGACTAGACATAGACAATTTACGTTTTTTGGTGGGCAACTTGAAATTGCTAGAAAACGGCTTTACAGCAATAGCTTCCCCTTACAATGAAAAGACTTGAAAGCTATCTCAAAGTTTCCTTGGTTGTATGTGGAAGATTGTAGCTTTATTTTGAATAATACTGTACCAAAAACTTGGGAGGTTGAAAACTTAAGGGTTTATATTTCATGAATATTAACTTGACTTTTTAAAAGAGGTGTGTGGTGACATTTTTCCTTTTACTCCTTCCTGTTTAAGTAATGACCATTTTAAGTTTTATTTAATCAAATTCTTATATCAAATTTGGCATATAGCCTTTGTTTACAAAGTTAACTGCATGGATTGAAATGACTGACAAATTGCAGGACAAATCTGGAATTCAGAATGTGGCACCCAGTAAAAATGTAGCATGGTCTTTAGCTCTTTCTCCATTTCATTAATTTAGATTCTCTAATGCATAGCAAACTTTTTATTTGACTGAAGTTTATGGCATGCTATGCTCTAATTCTAGATTCTAAAAACATGTTGAGAATGAAACTTTTAGCATTAAAAATAGTACTGTAATTATGTAAGATGAAGAATCTTCAAGTTTCTTTCAAGTATAATTTACACGTTAGTGAGAAATTGATTCTGAAAGACAGTTATTACTGTATGTCTGAGGATACTTGGATAATGGTTCACATCAATATGTTTTATTAAAATTATCAAATGGAAATTTAAAGTTACTACTGTTGTGGAGGAACCCGATTGTATTAGCTTGGAGGAAGAGGAAAATTTGTAATACTTATATTAATGTAATACTGGTTTATGCAGGAAGAGACATTACATTTAGCGGGCTTCTTAAAATCTGTTTTTCTCCTGTCAATTTGCACATATTGCAAGAATTGTCAAACTTACCAATGTCTTCTTGATTAATTGATTACAGTGGTTAATTTAGCATTTTGTAGATATAGTCTTTATTGGGTATTTTGTTTTAGTTGACAAGCACTTAAGCAGGAGTTTCTAAGTTTATGCCATTTACATAATATCTTTTTGTAATTTATCTGCACATTCCTTAAATCAGTGAAGCCAAAATATTGAGCGTTAAAATTTTTGTTACGTTTTCTTCATTTTCATTTCTCATTTATCAACTCTCGTACTTTTTTCCCATTGTGACTATGAGAACAAGGAGTTGACTTTGGGCAAATTTAGGACGACAGGTAGTGAAAGATGATAAATAAAACTTGTTTTTAAAAAAACACAAGGAAATTTTAACCTTTTAAGAAACCTGTTGAATACTGCTTGTTTTAAATAGTTAAATTATAAAAACTATAATAAAATGACCCACTGATTTGTTTAATGGTTTGTGAATAGTTTCTTTAATTTAACCTTTCAAAAGATTGCAGAATACTTAAAATGTTTTTACCAGATTAATTATTGGTTAGTTTTTTTTGAATATTCATTTACTTTTTTAGTTTTGAGGAAGTGTCCTAAATTTCATTGTCAGGAGAAAAGTTTTAGGAAATTCACAACACATGTATATGCTTCTTAATCTAATATTTTGCTTCCATTTTTAATATAAACAGCTTATACTTAAAAGTTTATTAATTGGTTGAAGGTGCTCTCTCATTCAAGATTATAAAAGATATTCAGTCTGCAGCTATTCTTTTTGTATAGAAATAAGTCATCCATATTGGCGAAAAACCAGTGTTTCCTATCTTGGTCTCTAGAATAGTCCTTCTTCTCCCCCACACCCCCACAGCTAGAAATAGTACAAAGATACAAATTTCTGATTTTTCTAGAACTGAGTCTAGAGTAGAATTTCATTTTTATCAATGGGCAATAATGAGCTTTTGATTTTGTAACTATCTGTTAGAGTTTTATAGTATGTGATTGTATCTGTATTTTGGCATACTTTATAAAGATTTTAGGAAATTAATAGGGTTATGTATAGAATGCCTTATTGCTGATTCTTACTGATACTGGTTCATACAATGCAGGACTGAGATGTCTTCCAACAGTGTTGGGTTTAGCCTTTTGATTTTAACCTTAAAAACCTTAAATCTCCTTGCTCTGTGCCATTGACTTCCAAACCAATTTCCAGTTGTCTCTTTTTGCAGAGCTCCAATCCCTCATTTCCATTTTTATTCTGATTATGTATTGATTTAAAATGAAATATTGCATTTATTATGATTTTATATTGAAAAATATGTCTTTGAGTAGTAATATAGTAAATACAGGCCCCCACCCCCTTTGCCATAGAATGGCAACTAGTATATTTACGTTAATCTTTATGATTTCTTATTGTTCAAACATAGATTTTCATACTTGTAATTCAGTTTTACAGTCTACTTTTATCACTTAACATTAGTTTAGACATACCTTTTTTTATATTTTTAGTCTTTGCCAGCATCCTTTTTCAGTCTGAATATTATGAATTCAGTTGTTAGTTGTACATGATTGTCAGGAATTTCTTTAAATTCAGTCTAAAACAAAACATCTTTCCTCACCAAGCCTCCTCTTCTCATTGATGCCCCTGTTTCTGTTAATGATGTCATTAATCTCTAGATCAAATTAAATATTTTAGTTGCTGTTCACTCATTCCCCTTATCTACATATAATCCAATCTTCTAGCTCGTTCTTTTCTTCACAATCACCTTTGCATCAGTTCTTTTCCTTGCCACTCTTATTATCATACCTTTGTTATTTTTTATCCTTGGAATATAGTAATACCTTAATTTTTTTCCCCTCCTCAGTCCTCTCCCTGTTCAATTCAGCATGCATATTGCTGTCATATTAATCTTTTAACAATTTCACTTTAATTGTGTCACTCTTGTCCTTAAATTTATATTTAAAACATTTCATCATATAGCTTATGGTTGATATATCACCACTGTGTTGTATCCTTTACTTTATGGAAGTTGCTTAACTTGCTTCCATTTGAAGTAGATCATCTTTATTTCCATGCCTTTAGCCATACTTTTATATTCTCCCTTCCTTCTTTGCCAATCAAAATCCTAGTCATTGTTCAGGATTCAACCCAATTGCCAGCGATAAGGGATTTCTGTTCTTTTAACTTGTATAATACTATATGGCACTGGAGAGGCATTCTTTTCTCACTCAACGTACCTTATATTCTGCCTCTCCTCTACTGATAAAACACTTCTTACAAATAGTGTTTGTAAGTTTGTCTTCCCTGGAAGACTGTGAAGATCTAGTCATCCACATTTTTATATTTCCAGAGCCTGGCACATAGTAGGTGCTCACTAAAGGTTTATTGAATTTTATATTTTACCACATATCATAGATATGAAGTTTTACAGTTATTTGTACGTTGTGCGATACATCTTTGAAACCTTCACATCCAGATACTTAGAATATTATTCTTGGACGTAATAGAACTTGTGTGTTTATAAAACAAATTAAAAATGTTGTGGATTTTCAGGGCATATTTTTTTTAATATCTTGAGATTTTAAAAAATTCTAATATCAATGTCCTTTCTATTAAAATGTCCTAAAGCAGTTTAAATCTTGGTTGAGTGATAGAAAAATATTATATCCAATTGAGTCATTAATTAATTAACTAATTCATAAGAGGCTGAGCTAGGTCCTATAGAAGAATACAAAGTAGAATTAGTTCCACGTTCTATGCTATTAGAATTTTAAAATAAAAAGTTTTCCTTTTACTTTTCAATATAGACAGACTTGTAGATAAGTTGAGAATTAAATCCTTTGCTCTTAAAATACAAATTTGACTTCTAAGGGAGCCATTGAAGCTTCTTTGTAAAATATGTGATACTCCTTCTTGTCAGTAAAAGGAATACTTTTATGTAGTCTTTTCTCCTCAAGATGTGAAGTGTAACTGGAAGCAATTAATTTTGAATTGCTTGTTAGAGAATAATTTAATTGCTATTATGATAAATATGAATATAAAGTTTATAGTTTATAGCTG